ATCCATCCATCCATCCATCCATCCATCCATCCATCCATCCATCCATCCATCTTGCATATTAACCTTACCCCAAACCTTTACAAATGATTTTATAAAACCCAATTTTTGATTCCACTAACTATATAGGTTGGTAGAGTTGTAGAGTTGTACTGTTATATAGTTGGTGGCATCAAAAATTGAGCTTTCTAAAAATATTTGTAAAGGTGTCAGGATACTCTTTTTATCTTTTTGGGGTGACAAAAGGAATACTGGTGGGCCACATTTTCTGTATCCTGGTGTAAGTGGAGCAAAATCATGAATGGCTAACTTCAATTTTTTGAAGTAATGCAAGAGAAATAGAATATAGGCCAAGGATAGATTATGATAAAATAAAAAACCTCTATCATCCACATAGGCCAGCTAAAGATACAAAACAGTACTCATGTTTGTCAGTTGCAAGAATTCTTCCATTGGTTAATTTAATCTAGACTTCTGGCTTTGCCCATACAATCTGAAGAATCATTCAGTCTCTGGAATAACATATGCCTGTCTGTCTGAGCCTGAACAGCTACAAAGAGTGAGACAGCAACTGTGTCCTCTGTTCTTTTGCTGTTCAGCACTGATTTTCAACAATTTTGTTTCAGAAACAACTACCTTGAGAACTTGTAACTGGGCAAAATATTTACTGTACCTTCACAAGTGAAAGATCCCACCCAGTTTCCTTTTTTACATATTTTGCTAGTTGGTTCTTTAGCAGCAAACCCAATATTACATGTATAATTTATTGTTTTTCCAGCATCATATTGTATTTTAACGTCTTGCTCTAATGAAGCATTTGGGATTGCTGGGGGCACACCACATGACTTTTCTGAAAAAAAAAACATTGAAAAAATAACTTTCAACACAAATCACTTTATGCCAAGGTTTCTTTATAGATTAAAAAAGCTGGATATCAACGTCAATGCCATTGTTTAAAAAGGTGAGATGGAGGAGTCCTGTTCAGTTTATCTGAATGCACCAGGCTGGGTGCACATCCATTCTCCAACCTGAAGGGGTGCTGTTCGCATGTTCATGTGAATCAAATCCCAAAAGAAAGGATGGTTTTTGATCATGGATTTAGGTAAAGACTCACATGAAGTTAGGGACAGTCAGAAATGGGTGAGAAGGAAGAGGGGCAGGTAATCAGAGCATTTCATATCTGTACATTGTGTAAAATTTAGCAACATGGTTTGGTTATTTAACATGCAGAATTAGGGAAATGTTTGGATTTGTGATATCGGCTTTCATAGTTCAGGGCTGTTCAGATTTTCTTCCTGCAAAGTATTCCTTCATGGGAGACTGTCAGTTTCAGAAGTCCAATACATGTTTTTAAATACAATCCAAAATATTGCAGAAGATCATGAGAGCCAATCTATACAACTGAGTCAGAACAGCATAAATTAATCATGCATAATTTAAATATACTGTAATTGCAGTATATGTTTACTTAAATGCTTTTTCTTTAGCAAGGAAAGACATTGAAGGAGGTGATTAAACTTTTGTTTTTGTTTTGTCTAAATGCTTCTCTGCCCTGACTCTCTCAAAGAGAAACCACTAAAAGGTTTTTGAGATACCTCCGGATTTCGTAAAACTACATTCTAAAGCAAATGAATAGACACCATATGAACTATTTTCATTGCCACAAGGCAGTGTGGTAGAGCAGGCCCTTTCTGAAGT